AAATAACGAACGGCGCGAACGACAAGACCAAAGAAAATAATAATAATTCAAGACTAAAAGATAAACAAATCGGTAACGTTTTTTTCCGGGCGTAATATTTTTCTTTTCGATAACCTATCCGCGGATCGAACGCACTCGCCGAGTGCGCCGTATTTACTGTACGACGCCAAAACATCATATTTTTTAAATCACCATTCATCTCTAGAATATCTTTGATCGCCAGACGTGCTCACCCCCCATTTTTGTTTAAATTAAATAAACAAAATAGTAAATGTATTCAAATTCTGATTTTTGGAATCTCGTATCACATATTTTTTTTATTTAGCTATTATTACTGGACTATCTCAACAGTTTTACCAACACATTCATTAGACCATATCATATGAAATTGAAAGAAATTGTTTGCATAACCTTATGAGTGTCTTGTGGAGATTCAAACTTTTGTATTTCAAATGAAAACCTCCTCTTTTTCTGCACATTATTTAGTAGGTATTTTTTTAACGTTATCATGTACCTAGTTCAAAATACGAATGGGTAGTTTTTCAGTTATTAAAATGTTTATAATAATGATAATAGTCCTAAAAGATGGTTTCACAATAGTAGAAAATAGATATAATATAGGATCTGGTATATATTTTATTTTATTTTGACTGTTTTTATACATTTTAAATATTAATAAATTAATGTAAATTTCTAAAACTTTCAAATTACCATAGCCCCGTAAAGTTCCAAACTCATTATCATGGATCTATCATCCTAGTTTACAGAATGTAATGTAACTAAAAAATCACTCGTTCAAATTTAGATTTTTATACGGCAAGTTGTTCAGAAAAATTATTTACTGAATGATTTACAGTTGAAATGGGAGGTTGTTGTTTAAAAAATAAAAGTGTGGAACTCCAAAGAGCACTGTATAAACAGAACAAAACAATTTCAAGCATTTGAAAATATGGTCTTGAAGTTTATTTAAAAATTCCAAAAATCAGATTTCTTAAAACTACAAGAAGAAAAGGAGTGAGCATGCTTGGTGAATTACCGTGTATAGTTTACTGTTCTTCTTAAACTCTGTAACACTGAGATTATTATTATTCTTATTTCCAGGAAAGTTTTCGAGGTGTTTAATATTATGAAAACATTGTTCACTGACAGCTACGCAGCGCCCGCAGTCAACGCAATAAGGACAAACGCACACACACATACCTACACAACAACATCGTACCATAAACATTAACCGCGATTCCTCGCCGACCCGCTTTAGATACTTAATTATTAAAATGACTTTTTTCCCCCGCAATCATGCATTCGAACTATTTCGATTTTAATCTATAATTTCGAATTATTCGTTCGACTAAAATAATAATATAGTCTTACCACTCTGCAGCTGAGTGCTAGTGCCGAGCTGTAAATCATACGTAGTATATGATATCAGTGAACAGAGTTGCAGCGGTGTTAAAGTCGGTCAGAGAGCACGTTTGTTTGTCCTATCGGCGCGCGCTTAAATCCCTCGAATTAATGTTGTGTGCACATTATTATTATTATTGTCTATATTTAAAGCCACTTCGGATATCTGTGTCGATATTATATCTACAAATGTGCCACATGTGAACTTGATTTATTATATTGTTTCAGAGTTTTTTTTTCTCGTAGAAGTATAGTATTATCTATATAAATTATTTAATCTGAAAATCCACTTTTTAAAAATATTCGGTCAAACATTGCTACAATAATAACAACCGCGTTTATATTATGCAATCGATAACGTCCGTTGGATTGAGTGAATTTGGCAGTCGGGTGGGTATAAAAGTTTTTCAAATAAGAGATCAAACTATCAAAGCACAAATTATTGATCGAAAAATGTTTGTTCAAAAGTGCAAAAATAATAGTTCATGCATTTTTAGGCGAAACTTTCAACATTTTGTTCTATCAATTTTCTTGCTCTTTAATGATTCCCACACGATCTCATTGTTCTCCAAGTAAAACTAGGGATATTGGGTACCTTTGTCTCAGTGTTCGGGATGAAAAGCACTAACATTTAATCATGACATTTTCATAGAAAACATGAAACTTTTCTTAAATGAGTTGTTTGTCTCTATTATGGTTCTATAAGTTACAATGCCTTATAGTAATATTAACGGGGATCAAACGAGATTTGGGAAACCTGTCATATTCGGTTTTACATGAAAAAGAGTAAATCTTAGTATATTAGTTTTTGAACCGAGAGGGCGAATTATAATCTTATAATTTTATGTATTGAATTATAATTTTTTATCAAAACTTTTGAACTGATTTATATTTTCTAAACTCTTTGTCCTTATTGTCGGTACTTATCGATTATCTGTCTATAATTCAATTTTACAATAGAGCATAATATTATACACAGTAACTATAACCACGTAGAATACAAAGACATTTCGGGCACCAGCTCTGTCATAATTTGTTTTCGAGAGTTTACACAATATAGTGTATTTTTTTTGTGATATCATGAATTTTTAAAGAAAAATATTAAATCGTTCCCGCATCAATGGTCCGCCCTCATATGCGAGGTTTACAAATTACAATACGTCATTGTTATCCACGACAATTAAAAGACATAATAATATAATATAATCGGTCAAACGAGTTGCTATGTGTATAGGTATAAGTCGTGTTGGGGTATGGTACAGGCGCGGGAAACGGATGTGAAATATGTATACCACGCGTACTGCATCTAATAACATTATGACGTTATGTGTGCCTATATAGAGGAAGGCCTAGCAATAAAGTCGTCAGATTACCGCGGTCGTCGTTGTCATACCCGTGTATACCTATTACCTACACTTGGGTTCAATGCAGCGAGAGCACTGACACGCGAAGAAGTCGTTTGCCGTCCGTATTTTTTTTTTTTATCGTCGTTATTTTCCGTCCGGCGAGAAGACGTGATCTCGCGGACCGATTGAAACTATAATGTACCGCTATCGTCGCGACGGCGATGTTGACATCGCACAACTTCCGGACCGAAGCCGTACCTACCCATACATATTATTGGAGTCGGTATATATGATGTAACGACTTTACTGTTAATGTGTGGAGGAGGAGGGGAAGGAGGACACTCCGCACACACACACACAGGTGTACATAGGTTAGGTTAGTGTTACAGGTATGACGTAGGTATAATAAAATATAGGTACTTATCACCTGTCATAATATTTTGTACTTACACATATATATATATATGTATACGATACGAGGACGAGTGCATTCCCCCCCCCCCCCCAAAGTGACGGCGAGTGGGTGTCGATGGGTGTAAACGAGCACTGCGATTTCACGTATACCCCGCGTATAAATCTTTCGTCAGAGGTATACGCGCACAGATCGCAACAATTTTACGGTTTTCTCCGCGTAGACGCGCAGAGATCAAAATCAACATCGTTTGCCATATAGGTACCTACGTTTAATATAAATGAAAAGCGTCGAGTTCGCGTATTATTATTATGACGACGTCTGTCCGCACTATGAGTTGTGATGCGTCTCATATGTTATAATGATTTCTGGAGATTTCTGAGGGTTTGTATAAATACTATGTACTTGTAAACTGCAGTTAGAGCTAGTCGTTATTCCTACTCGAGCTTAATTTTCATAAAATTATAATTTTGTATTTTCTCCACTCTTCGTAGCCGTAGAATGGCGAGAAACCAAGGGAGCTATAGCCACCCCCTCCAGAACTCTGTTAAGCTTCCTCGGAATTCTCGAGAGTTCCGGCAGCGCCGTCGATTCCATCACAAGGAAAAAAAGTCTATAGCTCCCCCCCCCCGCTAATATATGAATTCATCACGCTCTAAGCCTATGTTTATATTGCGCCCACGACCGTTATTATTATTAAATAAACACCCAGAAGTTAGTTGGTAGATAACCAAAAAAAAAAAAAGAATCTAGTGAACAGGCAGTCTTTCGTCCCTTAAGCTGCGATATTGTATATTGAGAAACGGTTTCATAATAAATAATAATATACTCCAAGATGTGTTAAACTATTTTCTCCTTTTTCACAACGTTTTAAAAGACCGGATATGTCCGGTAGACACCACTGAATAGACAAGTCAAAGATTATAATAATATAACATATTAACATTATGTTATTATATTATACAACTTGATATCAAAACCTATTTATATATAATTCTAACTTTTTTCCCATGGCTTTGTTTGCATATCAGTAGTATTTTTATGATAAGTAAAATAAACAAAGCAACAAAAATGGTTCTCAAATTAATAAGGATTTTCGTAAAATTAAGAAAAGACAACTTTACCAACTTAACTTGAGCATTAACACTTATAAAAAAAGAGTGAAAAATATTCATAGCCAAAATTATCAGTGAAAACTAAAACTTTTCTACTCCTTTTCGTCCTTTTGGGAGTTGAATTCCTTAAAAATTCTTCTTAAACGCCGCCTACATTACAAGATCAAAACACAGTCTCAAAATTTAAAATTTCTATCCACGTAGTTATACTTTTAATCACATTCAAGTGGTTATTTAGTTTCACCCCCTTAGGGGTTGTTTGTCCTAATTTTAGAGTTTAAGTTCTCTCCATACCAAATTTCAGCGAAATCGGTTAAGCAGCGTAGCCGTAAAAACGCATAACAGACCGATAGAGTTACTTTTCGGATTTATGATCTTATCATAGTACATGCATTGTATTATAAATGTATATTATACAATATGATAAATTAATTATTACGGATAGGTTAGCAACAATAACGCTCAGCGATTCGTGAAATTGGTCCGATATCGCCAAAAAAAACTTCAATGTTTAAGAGGCAGGTACCTAAAAAAAAAAAAAAAAACTGGTTCGCCGAAAAAAACGCATTAGCATCGAAACACACGGGTCACGTATTATTATTGCACGTGTCCGGTGTACAGTAACGTTTAGTGTGTTCGGTTGTACTTTATTATTACGATATTGTCATATTTCGCTGTATAAAATGTATGATATTATTAGCCGTGATCTTTTGATTAAATAAGTACCTAGTGAACAGCGCTGCCAGTCCCCAGGCCAGCAGACAGATGATCATCGCTCTGGTCTTGGTGCACACGTAACCGGCTCGCAGTGGTTCGCAAATTGCGTAATACCGCTCGAAGCTGATGGCCAGTATGGTCAGAACGGAAGCATGGGCCACCGTGAGCTCGACGAAAGGAACGGCTTTACCTGAAATCATAACCGTGCGGTTAACATAACGTACTCCACGACAATGGTGTGACATTTAATATATTTATTTATATTTTATTAATTATATGGCACAATAATAATTACACACGTCTTATACTACATATAATATATGTGAGACCACTGCGTGTATATTTTCGTGCACGAAGTCTGCAGGCATACGAATGAACACGTCCCAGTTGATTAATGTTTTAAGTCGAGTGCGTTAAATCGGTTTAGTTGGTACGATTGCGTGCAGGACTACTCGACGTGTCTTGACGAAAACCCACAAAATAATATTATTTTGACAAATTCACGGATTTCATTGTATAGGTAGCTACCGCTCGTCTAAAAACGTAACACCGCAGACGTGCACTAATACGGTTTACTAATACGTATAAATACAACTGTTTGCAGTTATTCATTTGTGAAAAAAATTTCTCAAATGACATATTTTACATATTTTAAGCAACAATAGTTCTGCTTTGATTGATGTTGGTCTTGTCCCAACAAATTTTTATTTTTTTAAATTCCTCTACTACAGACCGGTATAATTGCAGTCTGTTTATAATTATAGTCGCGGTCGTTGATCGTCGTGATGGTATTATTTTTTGCCATTAAACGCGCCGCTTTTGATGACTTTGATATACGTCATATTAAAATTTCTTAATAGGTTCAGGCTTGAATAATAATTAAGGGATGACGCCGATTTCTCGGTGTTGTAATTTTATAATATTAATCACTTGACTATAATGAATCATCAAGTCTCTCCCTCCCCCTATTGGCGTTGTATGTACTTACATTATAATATAATCGATCCTCTGTGTAAACTAATAAAATATTTTTTATAGCCGTTTTCGTAAACATTGTCTTTTGGAACACAAAGTTTTTATATCAAAGCTGTTACGGAATAAAAATATGACAAATTGAGATACATTGACAACATTTCCAAAGAATATACGTAGTAGTAAGTATAAGTAAGTATAATGTCTTATAAAAAAAAAATAAAAATGTTTTACCAACATGTTGAAAACTCAGTTTAAAAAACACTTTAAAACCGTACAGGTTAATACGTAATACGGATCTGATTTTTAATCAAACTTATACTGAATATAAATTAACGCGATTATAATATAATCATTTTTATAGTTCCAAAACATTTGTCCCAGGGGAGTCCACGACTCCATAGCCGTTGTACAAAGGATTTCATGGATCAGTTTATTTTTATTTTCATATCAAAAAATTAAATTCATTTTTTCAAATCAACCACGGAATCATGATGTCGTAATCACAATCTGTTTAATATACATTTAATGTTTATTCATTTTTTTAATAATGTCGACCCCGTTTCAAATATTATGCATAATATATAGCATAGCGAGGAGTTGAGCACTATCGCCATAATAGTATATAATATTTATGTTGTGACGTTCACACTACTGCTGCGATTAAAAGATTTATTATTATATAACAAGTATACTGCAGCAGTTGGACAATTACATTCACGAGTACATAAGATCCGTTTGCATTCAATTTGTTTCTTTGATAACAATCCTCGGTTGTTTTATTTTTGTTAGACTGTTAAAAAATAATATCTTATGATAGAGCCATAGAAGGAGTAAAAAAAAATCCCCGTCAAAGCCCGAAACTCGACGACACTCGACGATGATAAATATTACACCGGACCCCGACGACAACGGCGCTGAGTACGAATAATGATGATTAAAAAAAAAAAAGAACAAACTGGGCTTGAATTTTTCACGCAATGATATTATAACGCGGCGATGTTTGTATCGTCTCCGTCGACAATAATAATAATATAACAATAATTCATAATCACATTACGGTACATTATATTATTATTATTATCATTCGTTTCCCCGCCGTAGTCGTATAGTATTCTCGTGGCGCCTACAGCACATCGATCGCGTGCCAAATAAATTCGTTTCCCATTAGACGAAAAAAAAAAAAACTTGCGTACAGTTGCCAATTCGAACGCCGTGTTCAAATATTTGGTGACCAGAGACGGCGGCGGTCACGTCAATTTTATTATCATCGGTCAATATATTATACAGGTAAAACGGTCGAAATGCTAGTCCCGACTACATTTAAGTGTGTATACGGTCATAATAGTTATTAAAAAAGTGGACATTAACTATTACAGTTTAAAAGTTACATATACAAAAAAAAAACTTTTTCACTTAACCGGTTAAAGAATCCGTTGTACGGTGACTTAGCTTTTTCCGGTTAACTTGAAAGAATACAAATTAAACTTTAAGTTCAAGCTTATGCCCGAAACTGTAGTTAAAACTATTGAATTCATTTTATCTTCGATTCGTTATTGTCTCTGTATACAATGATTTTAAATAAGGAAATAATAAATATTAATTGATTCAATAACATAGTTGACACAAAGCACTCTCTATATAGTGCGTGCAACACGAAGAAAAAGTATAAGGTATGTACATATTTTTCAACAGAATGTTAAGTTATTATTTCAGAAATTGAAAGTTTCTCAATCACTACATAAGTATTATTGTGACACAGGTGAAAATTAAAATTAAAATAACTGACTTTTTTTAACAAGGTTATGTTTTTCACCATGTTAACTAACCTAACCTAACTTTTAGAGTTAAATAATTTGTTTTAACTTATAGGCTTTAGCTGACGTTCATTTATTTTCATTGTCTTCAATAACATTTGAACAATATTACATTGGTGATTTCATCACCAATATAATATTATGCGTATAAAATAAATAGTATCTTATAAATATCGTTTTTTAATAAGCCTACTCGATATTATGAAAGTGGTTCTAAAATATTATTCGGCTAAATGGTCCACGGATATGACCTTCAAAGGCTTTTCTCACTTTTTCACATTTCAGTGAGAGGTATAATGCTTTTTATTATTGTTTTTATTTTTTGAAGATTCCCTGACATTGCCGCCTAGACTTATTGATACAATACTAATCCGACGATAATGATTTATATTTCATGGTATATTAAATAAATTCCGATTACTTTTTTCTTCAACTCAAAGTGTATAATTTATTGAAATGGACTAAAGTTTAATTTTAAAAATAACACATGCACATACAGACGAAACGAACAATTATTTAACCATTTTAACTTAATAATATGTAATATATTTTCTGTGAAAACACGTCGTAGGTATTTATTTAAAAGAATCCCACAGCAACACGAGGTGAAATATGATATCAGGTTTTGGATAATAAATAATATTTTAAATTATAATGTACTCAGTTTTTTATACGACGTATGCAACGTATTAAGTTTAAACGTGCTTTTCATTACCTTTTTTAAATCCTCAAATCAGATACTGTGAAACGTATTAAGCGATTTAAATTTTAAATCTCAAAGTGGGTAAAAACTTGTTTGTTTAACATTTTACTCTCGAGTTGTATTTTTAATTATTTTATTTTATGTGTTTACTCTGTTCTCTTCTGTTTATTACGATTTATATACTATTTTTTTTTTATCAAATATGTAAACCGTTACTGTAGTAAATGCTTATTATTATGCTATAATTTGCCAATGATGCTAAATTTTTTTCAAAAATACTTGCGATCGTTATACTGAAAAGGTGATGATTTTTTAACAGTTGACTATCGAAAGTTTGAAAAATAGGTACTTTAACTTTCTATTATAGCATTATAATAATACATCAATTAATATAAATATCTCTAACCAATACTGTTTAAAATGTATTGTTTGGAGTGTAGGTACCCACCACGAAGACATCCTAATAGTATCTTTTAATGAGATGATTGTAATAAATTTTAATATCGACCTTATACAGTACGCGCTAAACAAAATTCCAGAAAAAAAAATGATTTATTGTGAAACGTTGCAAACAAAGTTATCTAACCTAACCCCAACAGCACATACATAAGTATTAAAAAAAAGAAGAAGACATTCAGCGAAGTAAACAGTTTAAAGGCAGTAAATCGCTTGTGACAAACCTACACATCCTTATCGACACAATACATTCTGGTGAGCTGCTGGGAAATATTATTATAGATAAAAATGAATAATTTTCCTTTAATGATATATGATGTGAATCGAGAAAACTAAAACCTTGAGTATCAATTTTCCTCGACCTCGCCTTTAAATTTCTGCTGATACTATTATATCAAAATTAATTAGAATAACTAATTAATAAAACATTCTACTGTTTCAACATATTACAATATTACATTTTGAGGGCTGAGAGTTAATGATAATGAATTTAAAGATTAAGTTTCGAGGGAATAAAAATTATCTGCCTGATATTGTAATATTTTAAGTTTCATGTTAGGTTAGTTTTAAGTCTCTCTGACATGAGGGTAATATCTTTCAACAGTTCAACATATGTAACTGTGTGTGTAGAGTGAAGAGTTCTCGGAAAGTCACAATATAATATGTTCGAGTAGAAAACCCGTAGAATATGTCTTGGGTATTTTTCCGTTAATTTATAGTTGTTTTTCAATTTATAAAATAAAAAATATTTTTGTAATATTGATATACAAATTAATGTACCTATGTTCTAAATTACATTTTTAATTGATAAATCCATATGGAAGAAAAATTAAAACTATTTACGACCCTGAACAATGTAAAAAAATATGGGTACTCTTCATCGTAAAACTGATAATTACTTCCTTATTTCTCTCCTGATTTAAAACTGTCCACAATAGATCTATAAGCTACCTTAAGATACATTTTATGGGTACATACAGTTTATTAACACCTTAATTTTATAATACAAATAATTAAATGAGACTTTAAAATAAAAACTAAAAAAAAAAAATACAGCACAATAACACAACGGTTCACTCTATTACGCAGTGTTCCAACAAAATGATGAACAGACTTAGAATTGTTCACACATTATACTCCCACAAGCACCTAATAACCAATAAAGAACAACTCTAATGCATTACATTCAACATCTCAACTACAGTCAAACACCCGACGAAGGATTTATTGTGACACATTGAA